ACAACGGTTCTTCAGCCCAGTGAATTCCAGGCCCTTCTCCGAGGCCGGCATTTCTCGGCGGGTGTCTAAACCGGGGGTGTCCCAAGGGTTCTCTAAACGCCTTTCCTGAGTCAGTAAACTGACCTACAGACATTCCGCTGGAAATCTGAGCTCTTCCGGGGGAGGTCGCTGGATGTGTCGGGGACACAGGTCATCTCTGTCTTCTGCCAGCCCCCCAAAACAGAGGAATGGTTGATTCACTGGCTCTGGAGTTCACCCATGGCTGACCCTCCTGGCAACCCTTGCTAAGAGTCGACTTCATCCCAGCTCTGCCTTTTATTCCCTGGGTGAATGTGGGCAAATCATGACCCATCTCCCAATTTCAGTCTGCTCGTCTATGATATGGGGACATCAGTGTCCATGTGCAAGGATTCGGTAAGAATTCTACGACACAACAAAGCGTACAAACTGCCTAGCCCGATGCTCAGTCCCCGTGAGCGAGCTTTTCGGGGTGATAGGTTATCATGAGGACGCAGCCCTGAAATAATTGTTCACCTAAAGCTGCAGGCAGAAACTTTTCCCCTGTTTCCCTTCAATGGGGGCAGTTTGGCCCCTGGTATAACTGGAAGAAGGGAAGTGTTCTGTCCAAGGTCACGCACAGGGGCGGGCATCTCTGAGATTTGAACCCAGCCCTGAAGTTTCTGCTCTCAGCTGATGTTTTCCCCCTTGACCTGTTTCACTCCCTACCCACGGGCTACTTCTAATTCTTCCTGAAACTGTGGCATAGCCCCCTGACCCAACCCCAGACAGGTTCCTTTCAGACTTACGTCCACCCGGGTTCTGACATCCTACTTATGCTTCTCATTCCCATGCCCACCTCGGGGAAATCAAACTCTCGGATTTAGGGGTGGGTAGGGGGTAAGAAAAAAGAAATTTGTTGGCACAACTCAAAAAGCTTGCTAATCTCGTACATTTAATATAACTGTATTTTCAGGGGATCTTCGCCCATGCCTCTCGGGGGTGTGTGTGGCGGGGGTGGGAAGACTCGGACGTTGAGTTAGCCCTCTGGTTTTGGGAAAGGGGCGAGCTCCTGGGGTCCTTTTTCAAAGGCCCTCCCCTCATTTCCGGCCGCGGCTGCCAGCCTTGGCGAGGAGCCTGGATCCTGTTGCTATGACGACAGGAAGAGGCGGTGGCGGTAGCAAGCGATGCTGTGGAGATGGAGGCTAGTGGGGGTGGGGGTGGTGGCTTTGAATTGGGGCTGGGGGTAGGGATCAGGGGCTGGGATGCGGGTGGGGGAGGAGGCAGGGGTGTCCCTTCTCTCAGACCCCCTTCATTGCTCTGAGCCTGGCCTCTCTCCTCTTTCCTCCACCTTGCTTTCCATGCCTCCCGGGTCTCTGTCTCTCATTCCTTGGGTCTCTCTCTTGCCCTGTCACAGTCTCTCTCCATCTGACTCTCTCTTTGAATCTCTTGCCTTCTGCACCTGCCTTTCTGTCTCCAAACACCTCCTGCCACTCACACCCCTCTCCCCTAAATTTCTCTCCTTCTCTCTCTCCTTCTTTTCTCTTTGTAAAACATCCCTCTCTCTGTTAAGACTGTGCCCCATCCCCAATCTCTCTCCCCCCTGTATCCCTCTCCCCCATCCTCTCTGTCTCTCCCTATCTGTCTCTCCCCATCTGTCTCTCCTCCCCCTCTCTGGATGACTCTGTCTCTTCTTTCCTTCTGTTACCCAGACCCTGCCCCCCCTCCCTTACCCCCACCCTCCCCCACCTCCACCCTCCCCCGTCTCTTGGTTTCTCTTTTTGGGTTTCCGTCCCTGTCCCCTTCTTTCTCTGGATATTTCCCTCTGTGTGTGTTTCTCTCTCCAACTTCCTTCTGCCACCCAGACCCTGCCCCCCTCATCATTTCCCTCCCCCATCTCCTCTCCGTGGCTCCCCCATCCTCAGCGGCTCCCCCTCCCGCTCCCTCCCTCCTCCCTTCTTCTCTCGTCCTCCAGCTCCGCACTTTACCCAGCGACACGAGAACCAAATTGTCTCCTCACCTTTTATTTCCCCATCGCGACCCCCCTACTCCCTTGGGGCCCAATCTCAGAGCTGCCCCTCAGCCTCCGCTCCCACCTCAGCACCCCTTCTCCCACACGCCTCCTCATCTGCACCCCACAACCAGGTCGGACGCCTGGGTCCCTCGCTGCTGGGGGAGGGGGAACAGCGAGGACTGGAAACCACAAGGGTGTTTCCGGGGGGCGCCGACAGGGGGCTCATCGTCCCCTCCTCAGTGCTCCGGAGAGTTGACCTACCATTAACAGAGGTGAGACAGATCTTTTTATTAAACGGAGGTGGGTGGATGTAGAATGAAGGTTCTGTGACCCCCCTCATTCTAGAGGAAGGAGCCTGGCCCCCTTCAGAGAGAGGGGATGGTAACCCCTGTCATATTCAGAAGCTTTAGAGTTGGGGGTCCCCTGCTCCCTCCTCTGCTGCCTCTGACAGATGGATCGAGGAAACAGTCCCTAAAACCAAACAGATTGCCCCCCAAATCGATACAATGAAAGGTCCTCAAATCGTTTTTGGATGGAGAATTTCCCTCATTTATCCCTGTTTCCATCTCCTCCTGGTCCTGTGTTGTAGGGGGCCCAGCAGGAAGAGGGGTATCTCCTGGGGTCACAGGCTCACCCAGGGGGAAGCAGCAATGTGCCAGGACAGTGGAGGTGGTGGTACTGGTGGCGAGGGGCCCAGGTGGGGGAGACGAGGCCCAGAGACCAGAGGAGAAGAGACGGGGCTTCTTCCTGGAGAGGAGAGGGGAAGGGGTCAGCCCCAGAGAGAGAGGGCGGCTGGGGGTGTCAGTGTGGAGTGCCTGATGAATGGGGCCCGGTCGGGCTGCGTGTGGGCAGGCAGGAGCTGAGGTGGGGGAGGGAACACATGTGTGGGTCCCTGGGCCCAGTTGCCATGGAGACACCCCCCATAGACAACCTTTTACAGCAACCCCTGGGAGCAGACCCAGTGGAGGCTAGCTGATGGGGGTGGAAGGGGCCAAGGTCACCCTGGTACTGGGACCCAGCATGTCCCCCCCCATCCTCTATGGCTTCCAGGCTCTTGACTCTAATCAGGGTTTGGGGAGAAAGTCTAGGAAAGTGAGGGGTGGAAGCAGGTAACGGACACCTGTCTGGAGGGAGGGCTGGGCCGTGTGGTGGGACTGCTCTAAAAGAGGGAACTAAGTGGGTACTGGGGTGGGGGGTGAAAAAGAGAAAACTGTTCCTCATTGAAATAGAGTTGTGGTCCTGTAGATCACATTTTTCTCCGGGGCACTATCTGCAGGGGGCCTCTTTTTAAATTGGGAAGAAAATGCGTGTACAGTGCGTATTCCTGAACAGGTGAAGTAGTAGGGGGAGTTCTGGGGGTGTTCCCAAGAAGGGAAGTCTGAAGGGGACATGAAGGGGGTTTTCCTGAACAGATGAGATGATGGGAATGGGAGGGGGTGAAGGAGATTCCTTTATGATGTAAGAGAAGTCGGGCAGGGGGTCAGGGAAGGTTCGTAGAACTTGATGAGAGAGAGAGAGAGAGAGAGAGAGAGAGGTTCAAGGAAGCTGGGGAGATCTAGAGTTGGGGGGTTCATCTCCTGTGATAACTGGTGGAGTAGAGGGGGTGGGAGATGGTGGAAGGGCAGTGAGCGGAATGGAGTGTGTGTGGGGGGGTGTTGGGCAGGGGGAGGTGGGTTTCCTTGGACAGCAGAGGGCGTCCAGGTCAGAGCTTGGGAGATTCTGAATGAAGAGGAATGGGGGGTCGGGAGGAAGAGATTCCTGGGAGTAGAACATGCCATGGAGCTCATGGAGGAAATTTTTCTTAATGGAGAAGGAGAAAGCGATGGTCAGGAGGAGTTTGTCTAAGTTGTAGAGATGGTGGGGGCCAGATTTGGAAGACTTGTCTAAGCAAAGAAAAGACTGGAGGGCTTTCTTGAGTCAAAGACGTAGTAGGAGATGGAGGTAGTCCAGGGGACACAGTAGGAGCTGTTAGAAGGGATATGATGGAGATGGGGGGGGGCATTCTTCTAAACCAGTGGGGCTAATGTGTTGTCTGTTGCCCATGAAGATCTCCCCCCACCCCTTGGGGAGCTTTCAAAAGCTAAGATGCTCTGGGCTGCACCAGAGCAGACCCATAAAATCAGCATTTCTCCGCTGGGACTCAGGTATCCGTTCTTCCAATGGCCTCTGGTGACCTTTCCAAGGTGCGTTAGAGGTTGGAAACCTTGGTTCAGAGAGTGGGGTGGTTCAGTGTGGGGAAGGGGGTCCCCAGGCAGAGGAGCTTATTTTTTGGGGGGGCAAGTGTTAGTGGTAACCACGTGATTCTTCTGAGTTGTGCAAACAGTGAGGGTTCATTGGGAAGACTTTTTTTTGTGAAGAGATTGCGAGATTTATATTTATTGGGTAGAGGACACAGTAGGTGAAGAGGTAGGACTAGTAGGGAAGAGAGGAAGGAGCCAGTGTATGAGAAGATGATGATGGGGTCTTGGAGGAAAGGAGGAAGGGGAAGGGGTCCTTGGGATAAGGAAGCACTGGGGACCGGGGTGAGGGCTGCCCTCCCTGGTGAGAACAGGGAGCAGGGGGGAGGGGCTGGGGGAGGGGCTGGAGGAGGGTCTTAGCCTGTCAGGATGGTGGGGGTACTTCTTGGAGTGGGACTGATGCGTAGACTTTCCTGAGCAGAGGCCGATTTTGTCACAGACAGGGAGGCAGTGGGAAGCACAGTGGAAGGAATTTGTTTAACGGAGAAAATAGTGGGGTTCTTTTTGGGGTGGGTGGGCCAGGGTGGCTGGGGAGGTGCCTGTGTCCCCTAACCCTTCATCTCGCTTCCTGCTCTCCGCCAGCTGGTGACCATGGCCACCCTCTGACCCCTCCTGGCCAAGCCTCGTCCTCGCTGCCCCTCCCCAGCCCCAGCGGGCCTAGGCCCCCCACTTCTGCCTGCGCTGTGACCCCCCCCAGCCGCCGGCACGGCCCCGCCCCCGCTGCCCCGGTGGTGGCCCGCGGCCCCCCGGCTGCCCGTGGTCAAACTGGAGTCGCTGAAGCGCTGGAACGAAGAGAGGGGCCTCTGGTGCGAAAAGGGGGTGCAGGTGCTGCTGACCACGGTGGGCGCCTTCGCCGCCTTCGGCCTCATGACCATCGCCATCAGCACCGACTACTGGCTGTACACGCGCGCCTTCATCTGCAACACCACCAACCTCACGGCGGGCGACGACGGGCCCCACCACCGCGGGGGCGGCTCCTCCGAGAAGAAGGACCCGGGTGGCCTCACCCACTCGGGCCTCTGGAGGATCTGCTGCCTGGAAGGTAGGCGGGGCCTCTGCGCCGCTCCTGGGAGCCCCTCCGCCGCTCCTGGGAGCCCCTCCCCTGCGCTCCTGAACCTGCTGGGTGGTCTCCATGGGTGGTCCTGCAGCTCCTGCTGGTCCGCGCTCTGCCCACCCGCCACCCTTCGCCAGCCTTTCAACTCCTCTGCACCCCTCGTCTGAACGCCCGCCTGAGTGCACCCTTGTTCTCTCTCCCACAATCTACCCCAGTCCTCGGAGCGCCCCTTCTCTTGCCCCATTCACGGTCCCCTCCTCATCTCGTCCATTCCTTTGCCTCGCTTTGGTCGTTCCTCCCCTTTAACATCTCGCGCTGCTGGCCATGCTCATGGCCCTCCCGTCCGATCTCTCCTGCACTTTCCCTCCTTCCCTCCCTGCCTCTCCCCACCAGGGTTTCTACCGACCTCCCACCCTGACCCTGTCCCCCCTGTCCTCCCCATGGCTCCCTCTGTCTCCTCTGCTCCAGCCTACCTTCTCTTCTGCCTCCTTCCAGACCTCACTTCTCTTCCAGCCCACCCACCGCCCCTTCTTATCTCCATCTCTGTTTTTTCCTCTGGTCCTGCTCTCTCCCTCTCCAGGCTACTCTCCCAGAGGTCTCTCCGCATGTGTGACCGCTGCCTTAGCACCTCAGGGTGCACCTCTGGGCCTCGCAGCTGCAGCCGGGCTGCCACAAGAAGTTGTGGGACTAGCCTAATCCAGAGCTCCATCTGGGATCTCCCCTTCTCTCCTGCATCCTTTTCTCCCCCCCCCTTTCCTCCTCTGTTCGGCTGAGTACTCAGGATGAGCAGGGAATGTTATCATCTCATGTAATCCCGTGAGCTGGGTGCCACCCTCCTGTCGGGAATGAGGAAACTGAGATTCAGAGAGGTTAAGTCACTTGCCCAAGGTCACCCAGCCGTGGGTGGGACAGAGCCAAGAGAACTCAGGTCTGATGAATGGGATTTGCAGCTCTGCTTGGTTTGGCATGCAGAGTGTTTAAAAACGAAACCAAAATCTGAAATGATTGCCAACATTTAAAAACAGGGAGGCTTCTCATAGAAAATCTAATTTCTGACTTCTTTTGAACTAGCCGAAGGCTGACAAACAACACAGGGGTCTGCCCTGGCCAGGGGGTCTGCCCCGGCCAGGATTGGCGGGATCTAAGCAGTTGCTGCTTCTCTGGATAAGACATGGTGGCAGGAATCTCATTTTCCCACAGTCACCTCCCTTCCCTATCGTCTCACATCCTGTCCACTTCTCTCATTAGGTTACTTTCTTCCTCTTGTGCTCACTTGACTTCAGGTTCACTCACTGGTCTGACAGCAGCAGGAACAGAGCCACGTGGATGGTATTGCATCCTGAAACCCCTAGGACAGTGTAGGGCACAGAGCAAGAATGCCATTCATTCACTCACTCATTCACTCACTCATTCATTCATTCATTCATTCATTCAACAACCAATGTTTATTGCGTTTATAAGAAATGCCAGGAAGTATTCCTTTAAAAAAATAAAGTAGTTTATATATTTATTTATTTTAGAGAAGAACGAAGGAGAGAGAAACATTAACTTGTTGTTCCACTCATTCATGAATTCATTGGTTGATTACATGTGCCCTGAGTAGAGACTGAACCTGCAACCTTGGCGTATGGGGAGGACACACTAACCAGGGCTGCCAGGAACCATTATTTTTTCTTTCCTTTATTGATTTTAGAGATACACAAAGTGAGAGGGAGAGATAGAAATATCGATGAGAGAGAACATCGATTGGCCACCTCCTGCATGCTCCCTACTGGGGACTGGGCACACAACCTGGGCATGTGTCCTGACTGGGAATTGAACCGGTGACCTCTTGGTGCATGGGTTGATGCTCAACCACTGAACCACACCGGCTGGACTACCAGGGACTATTCTTGATTCTGGGGCTACAACAGTGAAAAAAAGAAAAAGACAGATAAAAAAAATCCTTGTTTTTATATGCCTTGTATTCTAGAAGGAGAGACAGATAATAAAGGAGATAAATAAAGAAAACATTTAGGGTGTTAGATAGAGCTCAGTGCCAAAGCGATGGACATGTGAGGAGCATGTGTGTACAATTGTGCAGAAGGAGGCTTTGCAGGTGACATGGAGTGGCAGTCTGAAGGAAGTGGGAGATGAGCCCTGTGGCTGTCTGGGGGAACATGCTGTAGAAAGAGGCGAAGCAGAGGCTACGAAGGCAGGACCACTGGGAAGGTGGAGCAGCGGGGGCGGAGGGAGTGAGGGGCATGTGAGGAGAAGGGAGTCCGAGAGATGGCAGGGCCCTGATCACGCAGTCCTTCTAGATCCCACACCATCTTTGCTTCCACATCGTAAGTTCTTAAGCAGAGCAGTGACTTCAGTTTTTGTTGTTGTTCATCCTTACCCAAGGATATTTTTTCCATTGATTTTTAGACAGAATGGAACCGGGGAGGGGGGGGGCAGAGACAGAGATAGAGAGATAGAGAGAAAGACATTGATTTGTTGTTCCACTTATTTATGCATTCATTGGTTGACTCTTGTATGTGTCCTGACCGGGGATCGGAACAGCAACCTTGGTGTATCAGGATGGTGCTCTAACCAACCGAGCTACCCAGCCAGGGTTGGACATGTTAAATTTAACCTGCCTGTCAGAGTTATCTCTAGGACAGGGGTCATCATGATAAAACAAACAACAAAACAAACAAACAAACAAATCCTGTAATGTGTCCCATATAGTCAGTATTTTAGGCTTTGCGGCATGTCATCTCTGTCACAACCACCTGAAAACAACCAGAGACAAGGTGTGAGTGAATGATCATAGCTGTGTTCCAATCAAACCTCACTTGTGGACACGGACATCTGAATTTTGTATCATTTTCAAGTGCCACACGGTCACCTCTTTTGACTTTTCCAGTCACTTGAAACACTTAAAACCCATTCTTCACTGGGCTTGGCCCATGGGCCACAGCTGGCAGAGTCCTGATCTGGACTGTCAGCAATATGATATGAGGCCAGAGCTCAGGGGACAGTCTGAGCTGGAGACATAAACTAAGGGTCGTGGTCTATGAATGGATGAGGTTCCCCAGATAATGAGAAGAGACAGAAACCAAAAAATTAGTTGAAGGGGTGCCACCTGAACTAGTCCACTATTAAAAGGCAATCAGAGCTCTGGACATTGTGGCTCAGTTGGTTGGGTGTCATCCTGTACACCAAGAGGTCGCCAGTTCGATCCCCTGTCAGGACATGTGCCCGAGTTGTGGGCTTGATCCCCAGTAGGAGGCGTGCAGGAGGCAGTCAATGGTGGCTCTCTCAGATGGGGTTCTCTCTCATCTATGTTTTTCTCTCCCTCTCCCTTCCTCTCTCTCTCTCAAATCAATAAAAACATGGTCCACAAAAAGTCAATCAGAGAGACACAAAGAAGCCAGAAAGGGAGCTGAGAAAAGAGATTTGGGGGAAATGAGGTAAGTGGGTGTTCTGGAAGCCAAAGGAAGTAAGTGTTTTATGGAGGGGTACACGCAGGCTGGCCTTATTGTTAGCATTACCGTCACTTAAAACCTAAAAACATTTTTTTTTTTTTATCCTCACCCGAGGACATTTTTCCATTTTCCATTTTTTGTTCAGATAGAGTGGGAGGGAGAGAGAGGAAGAGAGAGAGAGAGAGAGAAACATCGATGTGAAAGGGACACATCGGGTCGCTGCCACCTGCACGGCCCATCCAGGGCGGGGGACAAACTGCAACCGAGGTACGTGCCCGGGTCTCTCTGGACCACAGGCCGACGCTCTAACCACTGAGCCAAACCGGCCAGGGCCTAAAAAACATTTTTAATTGATTGATGAGAGAGAGAGAGAGAGAGAGAGAGAGAGAGAGAGAGATATCAATTAGTTGTTCTACTTATTGATGCATTAATTGGTTGATTCTTGTATGTGTCCTGACCAGGGATCAAACCCTCAACCTTGGTATATCAGAATGATGCTCTAAGCAACTGGACTACCTGGCCAGGGCTACCATCACTGTCATTCATTTGTCGCTCAGTGCTCATGAGAACCCTGTGCAGTGTGTAAAGTTATATCCCCAAATGCTGGAAATGGAAGCTGAGGCTCAGAGAAGTGAAGCAATTTTCCCAAGGTCATATAGCTCATATGGAGTAGAGTCTGGATTTGCATCCAGGTCTGTTTTGTTTCCTTAGGAAAGCAAAACAGCACATCCACCAGCCTCTAGCCCATCAGGGATCCAGGAGTATAGAAGCTGGTCCCCTTGAGGTGCTTTCTCCTGAAGGCACTGTGTCCCCAGGGATTCTTGGGGTCCAACCCCCTCTCTGAGAGATGCAGTAGATTGGGTTTACCTCCTGTGTGTCACTCACAGAGGGGTGACCTTGGGCCATATATTTAACCTCTCTGTGCCTCATTTTGTCATCAGTGAAATGGGGACTAGAATAGCCCCTAACCATAGGGTTATGGAGGGAGTCAGTGAGTTAGTACGTGTAGAGCATTTAAAAGGCCAGCAGTACTAGGTTATGTAGTTCCTATTTTGTTGTTCTCATTATTTTGTAGAATTTCTCCACCTTGGTAATCTAGAAGTGAGAACCTCTCACCCAGCACTGCCCAACAGAAACATCACATGAGTGCATAAATGATTTCAATTTTCTAATAGCTACTTTAACACCAGTACACAGGGAAAACTTCAATGAACATAGTTTATACAATAGAATATACTCAGATAAAGGTTAACAATATATTGTATTTAATCAAGCAGAGCCAAAACTTAATTTTAACATGTAATCAATATAAAAATTAATAAAACATTATGTATTTTTTTCACCTTTTTTTTTTCAAGAGCGAGAGAGAAGCAAACATCAACGTGAGAAAGAAGCATCAGGCAGTTGCCTGCGCAAACGCCCAGACTGGGGATCAAACACCAAACCTGGGTGTGTGCCCTGACCAGGAATCGAACTCACCACCTTTTGGTGGGTTCGATGTTCCAACCGTCTGAGTTACACTGCCAGGGCTATTGT